CACGCGCCCCCGCACGCCGAGCTGCGGGGTGCAGGGGCCCAGCGCGGGAGAAAGGGATCTGTGAGGGACACCCTCCGAGGTCTGGAGGCCTAGGCTGCGCTCTCCTGCGTGACCTTGGGCAAGTAACCTGCCCTCTCGGGGTCTCCCTGTCCCCAGCTGGGCAGTGCGGGGGGCAGGCCATGCGCACGGACACCAACAACCAGGCCTTGGGTCCCAGCATCCCAGGGCCCTCTCCTTTTGGCAGTGTGACCTCCTCACATTACTTTAGCACTCTGAGATGCCTCTTTTTCACCGGAAAATGGGGATATGAGTCTTACCTGCCCTACAAGGTTGTGAGGAATCCCGGGAGATCATTCACAGAAAACATTTAGCACGGGGCCTGGCACGTAGTAGGGGCTCAGTTAACATTTATTGACTGAATGTGGATTGCCCACTCCTGCCAACAAAAGAAAAACGAGCCATTAGTCAGATATTTAGCCAATCATCCAATCCACCAATATTTATCAAGCACCTAAATTGTGCCAGATCATGGGCTAGGTCTTATTTTCTCCACACAGTGACCTGTAGAGGTGGATGATATTACCCCTTTGCTACAGATGAAGAAACTGAAGCACAGAGAAAGTTAGTCACTCAAGGTCACAGAGCTAGTGAGTGACACCAGTAACAGAGTGAGGCCTCATGGACCTTCTGGGCTGGTGGTGGTCCTGAACACTCCTCATTCCCTTGGGATGGAAGCCAAACAGGGAGGTTTGGTGAGCAGAAGGGACAGGCCAGCCACCATCGTGCTGTGATGGCTTATTACTCAGGTCCTGAGCACCTCAGATCATGAGGACACTGTCCACCAGCTGTATGACCTGAGGAATGGTACGATTTCCCATCTGTCAAGAGAGCTATCAGCCAGTCCATGCTTGGCTGACCTCTCGGAGCGTTCTCAGGGTCTGGTGTGCCCATGGCTAGGATGGAAATTATTAGCTAGAATGGTCATATGCACTGGTTTGTGGGACTAAACCAGTATATGCTAAGGGACCTGGCATACACATCACAAACCATGCTCCTCTCACCCTCTACAGTTCCCAGTGCAGGCACTAAGTCACAGGGCCACCCCACCATCAGCTGACGTGAAGAGGCCTTGGGGAGGGTGGGGGTAAGTGTCTGTTGCCTCTCACACTCCTGGACACTGGAAAGAGGCAGAAAGAGTTTAACACGCAGCACAGGCTTGGGTAAAGGGTCTGGCTGGTCCTGGCCCACCCCTCTTCCCAGGTCCCTCCCAGACACAGGAGGCAGGAGCCCTTCGGTCATGAATATGAAGAGAAGGAGCACTCACTGAGTTTAGCTGAATCTTATATACAGAACCTTATTTTTAATTCTTTCCAGCAGCCTGGGAAGATAGGTTTGTGCATGCCCACTTTGCACCTGTGGAAACTGTCTCAGAAGAGCAGAGCCATGTGCCCAAGGTCACACAGAGCATTGACTCTCTGGGCTTTGGAGATAAACCCAGGAGGGCAAAAGCCAGTGGCTCCTGAATCCAAGGTGGCCCAGGCAGCACCCACCCCCACCCTCCCCCAGGGCCTGCCACCAGGATGGGTGGCAGATTTGCTGAACCATCCCCTCCTGTTGGTGCATGGGTTCATTAGAACTGATGGAAAGTACAGAGAAGTGCAGGAACAGGGAGAAGAGGTTAGGCATGGGCTCAGAAGCCCTGGAAGACTGACCTTTTTATGGCCCCTTCCCAGTAGCATCTGCTCCCTCCAGATTCAGCCCTGAGGAGAGCCAGCTCTGGAATAGGGGGAGTGAACAGGCCTGGGACTTCAGCCTTCCTCACGCAAACACATCATGGGGTGACTACTGAATGCCAGTGGCAGTTACTGGGGGTATGCAAATGGACCCAGGCCCACACCTTTCAGATGGGGAAATTGAGGCCCAGAAGAGGCAGGACTTGCAAAAACACTCTGTGAAGTAGAGGCAGGGTCAAGCCTGGAGTCTAGCAACCTGATCCAACCGAGGCTCTGCCCTCCAGACCACCGTTCTGCCATTCTCTCCCCATCACCATAGCCTTGTTTGAAAAGTCTGTACTTCATAAAACAGGCAAAACCCCAACATTTTCTAGAAGATATTGTCCATAGCTCCATGTCCCCCATGAAGCCCCAGCTTCATGATCACACAGCGTCCATGAGTTCAGCTACTGAACATGTTTGACAATTGCTGCCACCTTCCCCTACCCCATCCCAGCCAAGGCCCGGGTAAATAACCCCGAAGCAAGCTGGACCAGTTAACACTCAATCCGGCTCCCTTTCCGCCTTCCCTCTGCTCTTCCTGTCTCTCCTTCTTTCTCCTGGTCTCACATCAAACCAGAAATGAAAAGGAGATGTGTGCTGATTTAAGGAAAGTGTTAGATGAAAATGTACTTCCTTTTATTATATAGGGAGATATTTTTAAATGCATATAAATAAACATTTTTAATTTGCTTAAACCTTCAGACTTTATCACCAGAGAGCATGTGTTTTGCTACACAAGAGAGTGGTGACTGTGAAAAATGAGGATCCAGGCTGCTAGCCCATCTGGTACAATTCAGAGAAAGTGGCCCTGGAGCAGCCACGCTGGGACAGGATTGCTCTCCAAAGCCACCCCATCCTAGGCCTGCTGCTCCCAGACTCTGCACTCCACTGGCTAGGCCTCTTCCACCCAAAGCAGGCTGGTGTCCTTGGAGCCTCACCATCCTCCCAGCCCCTCACAACCCATTGTACATATACACGCACACCCTGAGCTGCTGGAGACCTCTGTGAGAGCACTCCATGCCCAACCTGGAGCCGGAGTCCTTCCCTAGGGCTGAGCTGGGGTCTCCTGGCAATCAATACTGGACTGGTTTCTCCACAGACCAAGGTTCTCAACATGGTTCTAGGGCCTACAGGGGAAATTATATACCAAACACAGTGTAGATGTGCATGTTTCTCATTCTCTAGAGGCTGAGACCAGGCCATGGGTCTTTAGGTGACAAGCCAGGCCAGATTTGACTTGTGTCTGGACACCTGGTCTTCAGCACCAGCTCAGGGTGAAGCATAAAATTGCTCTGTGCAAAGCAGCAGCAGCAGTAGCTATTACTGATAGAAAGTTGGAATATCTCTTAGTGCTGGGGTGGCTGCAGAGTTTGACAGAACAGAAAGGATCCCTTTTCTAAGCCATTAATATACCCCAGACACTGGTGGAACTTTCTGGGTGACAGGGCTCTTACTACCTTGCAAGGCAGCCCATGGCACTGTTTGGAAGTTGTCTTAGATAAAATACTTCTTTTTCATGGAGCTTAAACACCAACTGACAGGGGTGGGTCCCACCCAGCCTCTTGACCTCCTATATGGGCAGCAGCTGCCAGGCCTGGCTACTGACCTCCTGCCTGGCAGAGGTCTTTCTATAGCTGGGGATAGGCTTGTCTTGCCTCACATCTTCCCAGCCACCATCTGTCCTCAGCACTGGGGGTGGAAGTAGTTAAAGCACCTGTCAGGCCTGCCAGGATCTCACCTTAGGATGCAACAGCCCCGTGAGCAGGTGGCTGAAACACAGTACTTACTACTCTGTGCTAGGCCCTGTGCTAAACACCATCCTGAGATAGGTTAGATCACTTTATTTCCATTTGACAAACGAGGAAGCTGAGACTCAGAGAAGGTAAGTAATTGGCCTGAAGTCTCACAGCTTAGCAACAGTCCCAGGCCATCTGACAATGAAACCTGCTACTAAGCACTGAGTCACAGCCAACACGGGGCCTTCCAGCTTACAGCATCCCCACTCTCCAGGTTGTGTGGAGTTCAGTGGGGTGCTGGGAGGTGCTAGTAGGAGGCTCCTGGGGAGTGAAGCCTGGGAAATGCTGGGTTACAGAAAATTCCAGGTGGTTCTTTGCTGGAGTCTGTGCTGTGCTGTGCGCCCTGTGACTCTCTCAGAGGGCTGAATCTGAACGACTCCCCAAACTTGCTTGGCCAGAACCATTTCTTTTTGGTGAATGAGACCCCCAGTTCTACCTATGGGGAAATGAGGCCCAGAGAGGGGAGCAGTTACCCCAGGGTCTCCCAACAAATGCTGAAGATCAGAAAACTGGATTCTTTCACTGCCAATCTTCCACCGACTCTCCCTCTGCTCTTGGCACCCTGGCCCTTTCCTCTGGTACCACCTGGTTCCCATGCCTTAAATGTCCACTGTCCTCAGTGAAGCCACAGTGTCTCCCAGGCCACCAGTAAGAGGAGAGACAGAAGTGCATGCTGCTCTTCAGGGGCTTGAATGGGGACCAGCTCCACCTCGTGTACTGTCACATGTCCCAGGAGCAAAGGGTGGGCAGGCAGGATGCACACACTGTTTATGGCTGGGCCACCACCCAGAACAGTGGAAAGACAGGCAGCTGGCATTGGAGCCTTCAAGGGAATGAAAGCCCCAGGTGGGCAGACCCCTGTCCACTTCTGGAACACAGTTAAGAAACAGCAGTTTTTCTTAGGAGTTTTTAAGTTCTGTTCAAAAAAATTTTTTTTTCCATTCCTTCCTTCCTTGTCCTGACAGCACCCACTAGTCCTTTAGCACTCAGCTCAAATATCACCTCCTCCAGGAAGCCTTCTAGACCTTCCAGGATAAGCTGGGAGCCTGCTCTGGATTCCCTGGATGCTCAGCTCCTGAGGCCCAGACCATTGCTTGGACTGGGAACTTCTGTGGGGCAAGTACTGTGCCATGCCTTGCATGTGGGGGTGCCCAACAAATGTTATCTGTTGAAAGAAAAATCCGAGCTGAAAGCATGCAAAAAATTCAAAAGACTGATATGTTGAGTCTGATGATTCTGCTTACAAAATGGACTTAAAATTTTACCTAGTTTCATAGACTTATTCTTACAGTGTTCTGTTTTGACCTTAAAATTCTAATGCATTTTAAAGATGACCGTGCTGTAGGCCTACAGAGACTAGAAGCGTCTACTCAATGGCTAGGGAAGGGTGAGGATAATTTATACTTCTGTTACATTTTCCTTTAATGCTGTGCATAATGATTTTTATACATTTTTAAATAGAGAAAAAATTTATTCTTGAAACTGCATCCAAGGGTTTCCACTCTATAAACAATACTTGACCAGCCATGAGCTCTGCTTGGTCCACAGAAAGCCTGTAAGGGGTTCCCTGGGGCCTGGGACAGCCTGGTGGGGTGGCAGAAACTTGGCAGGGTGGACTCCACCCCTCTGTGCCCCTCCAGGGGCCTCTCCCCATCTGGAGGCCCCACTGAGAACGCTTGTGAGGGTATGTGGCTCTGCAACCAGAAAGGGACGGGTATCAGAGCCTGTCACTCAGGCCCAGTCCTGTGAGCTCTGTGCTTTGCATCCAGGCTGGAGAGGGTTCAGGTCCTGTTAGGATGGGGGCAGGTAGAGGTGAGGCTGCAGGAGGAGGAGGCAGGTGTGAGCTCGCCACATTCCTCCTCCTTGGGGCACGGTCCCCAAGCATTCCATCCTCTCTAAGCTCCATCACCTTTCTCAACAGGCAGTCCTGTGCCTACAGCATCCCAGCAGCCTCCCACCCTTGAACCTGTGGAGGAGGAGGTGGTGCCTGGGGATTTATCTTGGCCCCCTCACCCAGTCCTCTGGAGATTGAAACCTCTAACCCTGAGCTCTCTTATTCCCCTGAGGCCTAGAACACAGGGGCTGGAGAAGGTCCTTCTTTAAAGGCTCACTGCATAGGCCAAAGGATGCAGGGGCCGGGTGGCTTTGTCCAAGGTTACCCAGAAGGTCAGTGGTGGAACTGAGACTTAGATGAGGCTTCCTGGGCTCCAGTGGGAACCACATATCCAGCATCCGAGGCCTCCAGGCCCCCAGCTCACAAGGCTGGGCAGGCAGCTATGGCAGGTACTCCTCCTTGACAGGCATTGGGGAGGTGGCACCCAGGAGGCTGGCAGAGCTGGGGCACAGGCCCCCAAGGGGAGGCCCTGCTGGGGCAGGCGTGACTTGATGGGCTGGTGGCAGTGGCTGTGGCGGCTGCTGCTGCTTCTTCTTATTCACTTTGCGCTCCTTTGCCCGCCGATTTTGGAACCAGATCTTCACCTGTGGTGTTGGAGAACAGAGATGGGGGAGGTGATAGAGAGACAGAATGATGGGGCAGGAGGAAGAGAGGGAGGACAGTCAAGCTCTTAGTTGGTGTGGCGTCTGGGCCTGCCTCCCACTCTACCCACCCAGAGTACTAGGGGCCCTGAGCACGTTCCCCCTCTGGGACATGCTTGCCTACTCCTCTCTGACCTTCCTCCTCTCCATCTCCCAAGGCCATACTCCAGCACCACGCTCTGGAAGCCCTCCAGAGCTCCGTGTGGCTCCTCCTCCTCTGGATTCAAGCAGCACAGATCGTGGCCTGCTGTAGCAGCTAACTGGGTCCCCCATCCCCTTACTAGGGGCCAGGGATATTGGGTTTTGTGGTGGGGGGTCAGGATTTGGCAGCAGCTCAGTCTCTGCCGGGCTGTGTGACCATAGCCAGGAGACTCAACCTCTGTTTTCCTCCCTTGACTGAGCTCTGTAACCTGCCTGGCAGCCAGACTCCCAGTACTGCTCCCATAGCTGAGGTGGGTGGGATCAGGGGGGACCCGGAGGACCCACCCACCTGCCGTTCTGTGAGACCCAGGTTGGCAGCCAGCTCTGATTTCCGCCGGATGGTGATGTAACGGCTATAGTGGAACTCCTTTTCCAGCTCCAGGCGCTGGTGGTCAGTGTAGACCACACGGTACTTGTCCTTGGTCCGGGTCTTGCCTGAGAAGCAGAGGGGACAGGAGGGGAGGTGAGTTGGGAGGGGGAGCCTACAAAAGGTGCAGGCTAGGCCCCCAGGGGGAAGAGCACTCCAGGAGCCCTGAAGCAGGACCCTGAGGTGGGAGGGACACACAGCCAAGTCCTGGGGGTGATCATCCTTCCCCGAGGCTCAGCCTTGGAGACTCCCAACCTGAGAGGCGAGCGCTGCTCTTGTGCCCATTTGGGGAGCCACTGAGGCTCAGAGAGGGAAGCAACTTGCTCAGGGCTAAACAACAAGCTGCTGGTGGAGTTGGAGTTTCAGTCCAGGTCCCTGACCAAGAGCCCTACTCTGATCACCAGCTCCACCAGCTTTAAGCCAGCAGTTTGCAGATGTGGCTGCACACAGACACTTGGGAGGACTTGTGGAAAACAGCTTCCGGGACACCCCTGACAGTGTGAATCGGAAAGCCTGGGCATGCAATCTGCATTTTGAACAAGCTCCCCAGGTGGTTCTGATCCAGGGTCCTCAGACCACAGGTATGAATGACTGGAGACGTGGGGGACACCTGGCAGATGAGAGCAGATTGAGACTCACGGGCTGCCGGCTGCTCTTTTCTCCTGCGCTTGAGAGCACAGGGAAGAGCCACCACAGGCAGGGGGAAAGCTTGCCCACCTGTCCTGGGGTGTATGTCCCTGAGATCCTGCTGAATGCCTGGCAGCTGCTGGCCCCAAAACCAAACAGAAAGGACTGAGACCACCAGCAGCCCTGAGGACCTGTCAGAACCTCGAAAGGCCCAGGTCACCAGGCCCTGAGGTGGGGCTGCCCCTGGGGCTGCGGGCTAGTGTGCCTGGTCTGCTCTCATACCAGTGCCTGCCTGGGCTCAGCCTGCAGATATCTCCTGAGCTCCTGCTGTGGGCCAAGCACTGGAGAACACCAGTAAACTGGAGGTATTCCTGCCTCAGTGAAGCTTTGGTTTTCATAGGAGACAGACCCCCAAAATTCAATATGTTAATAAGTTAGGTAGTGACTAAAAGAAGGCAGGGGAGGAGGACTGAGAATTTAGGGAAGAGAGAGTTTGTGATTTTAAATAGAGTGGCCATGAAGGCCTCATTGAGAAGGGAAATTTAAGCAAAGATCTAAAGTAGGTGAGGGAAGCAGTCATGCAGGTATCTGGGGAAGAGGGCTCCAGGTGGCGGGAACACAAGTGCACAGGCCCTGAGCTGGGAGCATGCCTGACATCTGACATGTACGAGCAACAGTGAGAAGGCTGATGCAGCTGGGGTGCAGTGAGCAAGTGCGAGGGACAGGGCGCACAGGGCCTTGTAGACCACAGAAGGACTCCGGGTTTCACTTAGTCTGGGATGGGGGCCATTGCAAGGCTCTGAGCACAGGAGACATGAAGTCTCATGTAGGTTTTAGTATGATTCCCACTGCTGCACAGAGAACAGACTGGCAAGAGAACGGGAAGCACAGAGGCCTGCAATAGCCTAGGAGAGAGAGGCAGTGGCTTGTCTTCTATGCAGGGACTGGATTTGAGGACTTATGGGGATTAATGTCAGCGCTTTCTTTGGGGCTGGTATCAGAGGTCTGTTTGAAGACAATATTAAGAATCATGCTTGACCTGGATTGGGGGCCTAACTAAACACCGTTTCCCTTGTAAAAGTTGAGCACGTGGCTATAAACAGGAAACACACCCAAGCACATTCAGACCCATACATGCATCCCACCAGGGCGTGGTGGTTCTCTAAATAACCATCAGCCGCCTCCCACTGCACCCAAATGCCACACGATAGTTGGGCCTTCACTTCCCTGGGTCCTGGCTCTGGCTTTGCCTGTGCCTCAGCGCCACAGTGCTAAGTTCCACCCCCCACCCCAGCACCAAGCCCACGCAGCTTGGCAGGACAGCCACTGGGCTCCTCAGGAGCCAAATGGTTTTGTGGAGAACAGAGGCAGCAGATGTTCTGGGCTCTTTTCCGTGGGTTTCATGCCAGAGCGGCAGAACTGCACTGGACGCTTCCTATCCACTGACCTCAGCCACTGCCGACGCAGCACGGGACAGCCTCAGCCCTCTGCCAGGCCTGGCCCAGGAAGGGGACAAGGGTGTGGCTGCTAAGTCCTTGCCTCCAGATGGGGTCCCTCCTTGGCCTAGAAGATTCAGTGCGGCTCGAAAGCAGTTCTGCCTCATGCCACCATCACCAGAGCCCAGCAGAACTCTGAACCCACAGCCCCACTGGATTCATTGGGCTAAAGCCAGAGGGGTCATGAGAGTTAGTCTCCTCCCATTTTATAGATGAAGAGGCTGAGGTTCAGGACGGTCATAAAGCTGCTGGAGACCCAAGTAAGAGAGGCCTTGTGAGTCTCTGGGTCACTGGAGCTCAGGCAAACACAGCCTTGCCCAAGGCCCTGTCACCTGGTCTAGAGCACTCCATCCCTGCTCTCATGCACAAGTCCTCACCCCCTCAGGCCCAGGGTCCACAGAGTCAAAGGGGCCCCTGTAAGCCCTGGCACCAGGAACCCCAAGAGCAGACTCACCTACTTGTATTTCTGGGAAAGGCAGGCCCCTGAGAACTCTGGTCTGGGTCTGGATGGTCTGAAGGCCAGGGGTCCTTGAAAATACCCAGGAGCCTCAGCCTAAGGCAGGGAGATGAGGCTCTTGGCCCATTCAGACCTCAGCCTGAGAGCTGAGAGCCTACAAGCAACAATAATGAAGACACCTTTCTTTCAGGTACCCAGCTGTTCACTCCCATCCTTTCTGACGAGCAAGTGGGGATCCATCATACCCATTCCATAGAGTGGGGAAAATCAAGGCTCAGAAGGGGCCCTTGCTCAGGGCCATCCTGCCTAGTAGTGGTATGAACCCGGGCTCAGGTGCCCTGACCTCCAGCCTGGCTCTTACCAGCAGTGGGGATGGGGCATCAATGGAGATAAGGCTCTTGCCGTGTAATAATTCTTCCTCTTTGTACTAGCACGGCTGCCAGTGAAGACCCAGCCTATAGGCCCTGTCACCCCCTCTCTGGGCCCAGAGGAGAAACTGATGGGCTCAGGAAACCATTGGCCAGCATCTATCTGCTGGAGCTGCTCAAAGCACACAATTTTATTCCTAAAAAAATGTCTCTGCCAAAGAACAAAATGTTTGATATCACACTGTGTCCAGAACCTAGGGGATCCCATATGTTGTCCAAGGAGTGATGACTAGAACAACCTCCTTGGAGCCTAACTTGTTTATATCTAGCTTCATTTAACATGACATACCCATCAATCCCACTTCCAGGGATTGATTTCACAGATAAATGCCCCAAACTGTAGCTGATCTGAATAGCACAAGATGAAAAGCCATGTACATTTCTACAAGAAGAGAACTGGTTAAATAAAAATTGGTACATCCACATAAAGGATCATTATGCAGTCTTTAAAAAGAAATTATAAAGCTCCATACATATCAGTTGGAGCAATTTCTAAGATATGTTGTTAACAAAAGCAAAAGCAAGATGTGGAATGTTGGAAATAGTATATTTCTGTCTGAATAAAAATGGAGGGATACATACACATTTGTGTACCCTCAGAATTTTTTCTGAAAATATATACAGAGGCTGCCTATGGATTGGGAACTGGAGGCTGCGAGGCCACAGGTAGGAAGGAGTCTTTGGGATATTTAAATTTTTACTAGGTGGAAATGTGAACTTGTATTTTTCATGACAGGAGCCGTAGGCTCCAGTCTCCACTCTGGAACAGACCTCCTGACTGCCCCAAGCCAAGGTTCCTTCCCCCTCCTGTGAGCACCTGTGCCACCCTGGGAGCCCAGGGGGAGGGGGCAGGGAGATGCGTGAGAGCAGTGGGGCAGAGGGAGGACCCAGGATGAATGATTTACAGGCCCCTGGGACACTGGGGCAAAGGCAGAAGTCAGGGCTCCTGTAACAGGTGTCGGATGGGGGCCAGCCACTCCCAGCCACCTAATGAATAACGCTTTGGGCCAGATGCCAGCACGAGTGGATAGGAAGGAGGGAGTGGGAGGGAGTCCCCCAGCTCCTCAGGGATGAGCACAGTGGGCAAGAGCCTTGGATAACTCACCTGAAAGAGATGCTTTCTCTCTGCTCAGGCATGGGACACAAGGAAAGGCCCATTCACATGCAACAGGCTGTCATGGTGGTAGTAAATTCTCCACCCACTAAAGAATGCACAGTGGAGGCTCTGGGAAGCTACAGACTAATGGTTCCAAATGCCTAACCATCAGCCTCAGAAATGCCTGGCGCACAAAGATTCTAGCCAGAAATTCAGATTCAGTGGGGCTAAAGTGGGCTCAGGGGTTTAATACTTGAATAGCTCTCAGGTGACCCTGACATGTGGTTGTTGTTTGGGCAAGCAGAGCTCTAGGATTGTGTGTACAGCTTTTCACAAGCTGGGTGATCTAGGACAATCACTTCACCCCTCTGAGCCTCATTTTCCGTATCTGTTTATTATTTTAATAATGTCCATGTGTCAGGCATTTTGTATACATCTCTCAACAACCTATGAAGTTGTACAACTGTTATCCCTACTTTATAGATGAAAACTGAGGCTCAAAGAGATCCACATCGGGCAGGTAGGATTTAAATCCAGGTCTGTCCAGCCTAAGCAGCAGCACTAACACAGTATAAGGTTTCCACAGTCATCTTCAATCCTCAGGTGTACAGGGGAACACTTGAGATGGATGGATGCATAGTACTTGGCACTTAGTAGGTGCACATGGGTTCATTTCCAGTAGTAGTAGGAGAGCCGTATAGCAGGAATTCTGGGAAATGGATCTGGGCAATGATAGTGTGTTGGACGAGACTTTATTTATAAGGTCCCTTCCAACTTGGCAACGTGAAGCTCCCAATGTTTGTTGATTATCTAATTGTGTTTGTTATTATTGCTGAAGGAATTCTAAGATTGAATTCCCTGTCTGAGAGTCTAAATACTGGGCCTGCCCATTTGGAGGATAGGGGGCAGGGGCCCTGGCAGCCTGCACTGGGGCCTCCCCATCCAGCCTGGGCCCTACAAGGAC